TTTAGTATAACAGTAAAAGATCCAATTTAATTAACCAATTTGAATCGACTGATCAATCATTGAATTTTCTAACTAATTGAATGTCACTTGTACGGCATATATTTTGAAAGGTTTCCCAACGAATTTGTTCCAACTTTAATCACTTTTCTGTAGCGAAAACTCTTAATTGGAAGTTCGATGTAATTCCATTGTCGCGAACGTAGCACCAAAACTGAGAGAAATTATTATAAATACCGGTTGAGGTTCAGACAATGCTGCTGAACTGAAGTATTTGAGATGTCGAGGCAAAATTTCGCAAACTCACAATTTCTAAATTAAAGTGCTATTCTATATACGTGTATTGTAATGAACAAAAATATGTAAAACGAATAAAAAGTTGTCTGAAATACGAAAATAGTTTAATAACAAATTAAAACTTTATTGAAACTCGTGGCAGGGGGCGCATATACGGGAGAGGAGGGGTAATGGTGGTAATATTTTGTAAATTATGCAAAGCCATCCAAAAACAAAAAGGTTTTGTTACTTTAAGACAATGACAACAGTCACAAATCTCTGGCAGACTAAAACTACTGCAGAGATAGTCATCACAACCATTAGACTTGCATTTTATGGCTCCCTTTAAGCTTAATATAGAAATAGGTGCAATCTTTACATGAAATTCAATGCAGGAGAGAAAATAACACCCTATGAAGTTGCTTCATTGTTTCGAAGAGCATTTTGTTATGTTGCATTAGTTTCGCGAAGTGGAATCAGGCTTTAGAACAGGAATCTTTTCAATCGATCCTTCTTTATATGAAAATGAAGATTTATTAACCCTTAAATGCCGGTGCTCGTAAAATCAACCTACATGCCGGTACGGGGTTTAACACAAAGTATAGAATGGTTGACAAGGCAAATAATGGCGGTTTGCAATGAAAAACTTATAAAATAAAAAAATGAAAATAAAATGTTACTCCATGAAAACTAAACGTAAAACTTTTATATAATTCAATCAACTGGATGTTTTTTTATATTTCAGTTTAAAGAACAAGTGGTACATAAAATTTTTTGCTCTTTTTTTCTATGAATTTCGCATACAAACTTCCTACATAGTGCGCACGTTATGTTAACTTTCTTGTCCAATTTTTGAGGGCACTGATAGCATCTAGCTCGTTTTCTAGCCGAAGTTGCTGGCTTAGGAACATGTTGATCTTGCACTACTATTCCACAATCTCCTAAAGCCGATTTTACATGCTCCTTGTGGTTTTTATAGTGGGACTTTTCTCCATATTGGCCTGAGTAAGCTGATCTCCTAATTGTAAGAGAAACAATCGTCGTCGCGAGCTTCTTATGCCAATCAGGATTTTTTCAACATATAAAATAAAATAATTTAGAGCACAAATATCTAGCATATTCATAAATCTCCTATACGGCCTTTGAGCTCTTCTTCTGGAGCACGAATTCTCTCTAATGAGCTTATCGACATTGTTAACGGCACCCTTGCTTGCATTGTAATCTAAAACCATATGTGGCTTATTTTTGTTGTCTGCACAGATTTTATCATCATTATGTTGGCTTGATATAAGATGCACCAGCCTATTCTTTTTCGGGATATAATAGACCATCGTTAGCTCTTGAGTAAATGCAAACATAGATCACTCAACTGTCCTGGATGTTACGTTTAGCTGATTTGGTGTATCCGGCTTGTTCTTGCGAACAGTTCCAAGTAATGTGAGTTTCTTCATCAATAAATAATTTGCCAATGGAACACTTGAAAAAAAATATCTGTGGTTATCACTCGCCAACTGCCTTGGTACGGTTCTACCAAATCTGACACGACACGAAAACCTTGATTCTTCTCTGTTATACCCGTGCGAGATTTTCCAGTATACACCTGTAGGTTACATAAATATGACGTTTTGACATCAGCGGCTGCCCAAATTTTCATTTCATACCGTCCAGGTTTGGATTTTATATATTGTCTAAATGGGCATTTTCCCCGGAAACACACTAATTGTTCGTCAATCGTGATATTTTCGTACGGTTCAAACGCCTTCCTGCAATTATCAACAAACATGTCCCAAATATCTCTTATCTTGTCTTTTTCCTTTCGCTCAGCTCTGGTTAATTTGTCATCGAAAAAATTATGATATTTGCTTAAATCTATCCCACACTAAAGCAGCTGTTAAAAATGATCGACTTTTGGAGGTATTAGTAGACCACATTTCCCTAGTAGATTCCTTTCTACACCATAGTGCACCTGCTTTTAGAAGTACACCAAGATTTGTCCAATGTCTGTTTTTATTGGGATTTTTGGTATTCCACTCATCAAAATTCCTAGTAGCTTCTTCATTAGTATGACGACATAATTTTTTTCATTTCCGTTGTCAAAAAGAAATTGAAAATATCTGCAGTCTTTATTGTAATCTGTAGTGCCAGAACGTGCATTTACAGTATTCCTTTGGCGTCTTCTAGTGATAACAAAAGGGTGCAAACCTGATTTGGAAGTATATTTCATACTACTACCTTCCTCAAGATCTTCTTTAGGTTCCGTAGGTTCTCCTTCCTCAGCATCTTCTTGAGGTCCTCTCGGTTCTTCGTCTGATTCCTCTTCACTTTGTATTTCTAAGTTATCCTCCATTTCCGACACATTTTCTGTCATCAAATCTTGAGCCATCTTATTTTTCGAGTTAACAGGCAAGCTTTAAATAATCCCGTAGAAGTAGCGGTCATTGAACATGTTTACATGGAATCTTTCAGTTCTAAAAATAAAGTGGCTCCGCTTATTTCTAATATACAGATATCATTAAAGAAGCTGTAATTCCATCAACTTCTAAAGAAACTACTTTTTTCTCGTTATGTGCTAATGTTCCACTTACTAACGATAATATGGTTGCGTTTGCATTAACTTCTTAACATAAGTCTTCATGAACTACTTCCAAAGACCAAAGTACAAAAGTCAAAAGGAATACCAAAACAACATTCTACGATTTTAACACCTAACGCGCTTAAGGTGATTATAGCACCCCTTATAATTTTCGGACAAGCATTTCTCAAAAAGTAATTTTTTAAAAAATTTAAATTTTGGGAAAATAAATTAGGCAATATCTATGTAGGGATAGGGATATAGGCACATTCTTTGATTTTCTTTTACTATACGGAGAATGGTCGCGTTGCGCAGCTTTCTGAGTGCCTTTTAAAAGGAGATAGAAAACTTCGCCATTTTGAACCCTTATTACGTGTTGCCTACATCTTGGCGCAATATTTTTAATAGGTGCGTTTTAATCATCCGCTTCTGCTTCGGAATTGTCGGTTTTCTTGTTTTAATCTGACAGGTTAAAACGACTAAACCGACAATTCCGGAAGCAGAAGCGGATGATTAAAACGCACCTGATATTTTGCTTGCTGCTGTCAGTGTCAGTGAATATTATTTTTGGAGTCACAGTTTATTGCTAAAGAATCAGTTAGCTCACTCGGACCAGTTAAAAGTTCCAAAATAACATCCACTCCAGGGATACAAATTCAGGATACGCAGAAGACTGCTGTTTTATTATAGGCGGTATCATATATTATATTATCTGAGTTGCGCAGTGTATAAACTGGAACATTGAGATAAAAAGTGCCGACGCAGAGTGAGCGATCTGATTCTTTACCTATAAACTGTGTCATAGGGTTCAAAATGGCCGCACCCTATGTTGGGCGTGTCGGACCTCTCTCTTGCCCCGTATAGTAATCAAAGTATGTGGATATAAGGCTATATAAGGATGATCCTTACGTCAGTTTTCAGTTGTATGATAGACGTTACATGTTAATGTTATCAGTTGTATAATAATTGTTGTAAAAGTTGAGTTGAAATAAATTGGGATATCAAAAACCTGCGTAACAATATTATAAAATTTTTCAAATAATATGTCGTGTTTTTTAGCATGCTATGGAAATAAACGTCATGCCATTTATATTGTCAATTTTTGTAACAAAATATGATTGTATCTGAACATTTTCTCAACTGTACCTAGGAACGAATATGTTTGTTAGCAGTGGAAGTGATGAAATTATGAGCACTCCACCGGAGATTTTAAAAAAAGCTCAATCTGCCACACATAATTTGTTACCGCTAAAATCCAAAGAAAGGTACGAAAGTACATATCGAAAATTTATGGATTAGCAACCCAAGCATATCGTTAAATCCTTTTTGAGAATGTTTTAAGTGGGCGTAGAAAAAGTATAGTACGCTACACGAGTTTTAAGCCCATTACGCACTTGTGAAATTTACGCACTCGCCGCTGCGCGGCTTCGTAAACTTTTTCACTTCGTGCGTAATGGGTTACTTACAACTCTTGTTACGTAATATACTATTACCGATTTTTTCGAGTGTTAGCGTACCTGTAACACGTTCGAACCAGAAACGTTGCGTAATACAGGAAAAACAAAATAGTTTGACATTTTAATTTTAAAAAGCTTATGATGATAGAGTTGAAAAGTAAAAAATCCAAAAAATTAATTCGCTACCACTGTAATGCTTTACAAAATAATCTTTTTTTTTTTTCATTTAATCGTATCTGTTATAGTTTACAATATAGCAGTGTTAATCCATGATAAAAGAAATAACCTGTATACAGGGCGTGCATTTTTGAAGTTTAGTTATATTTATTATTATAATATAACACAATTTTTGGCTATTTCAAGTTAAGTAGCTGGCCATCTGACTACTCACCTGCCAAGATTTAGAAACTTACTTTCATCTTATTTAAAGATATGCTATGGAACCAGGTATAAAATTTAGCAATCCACTCTTACTAACAATCTTAGGACAATAAATTAACTTTAGAATATTTTTTGAATTAAAACTCAGCAACTCAGCATAGAAAGTAGCTGATAGTTCGCACGTTTCAGTTTATGGAATACAAAAAATTATTGATGAGTGTAATTACAAGTGAGGCCGTCTGACCTATTGAAAAGCTATTTCTGGGGCGCATAAAAATCCAAAATACCAAGAGCGTTAAACATTTTCAATGAAACAAAAATAAATGGTAGTAGTATATTTAGAGCAAACGGTTTTTAATTGCCCATATATTATATTCATTATAAATAAAGTAAAATGAAATCATGCGTAACGACTCCTGAATGCTTTTGTTTGAAAAACAATTGAAATCTGGTTGGATGTTTATGTGTGACCGTAGAATCAGTAGACATATTAGAAAAAATCGTGAAATTCTTTTCATATTTTTATAGTATCCCGTCGTTTTCTTTGACGTAATTTCCAAGATTTAAAGAATCACCAATCCTCTCCATCAAACATTTCCGGTTGTATGAGTATGCGCACTTTTTTGCCTTGTTGAATCAATTCTAGTTCAATGGTTTTCTTTTCCGATGTACCCCCATAAAGATCCGCTGGACAAGTCACAGCAACTCCATTAATATGTGTAATGATATCGCCCACTTTAAGGCCACCCCTGAAATACGAAAAGACTTGTTATATATTTAATAGACCATTTTATATACTGCATAATAATATAGTCGTTAGTATGAAGACTAGTCTTCATAGTCGTTAATGTTTAGTTTCTATGCATTCATATTTTTGTGACTTAATTCAATTCATGTCAAGATATTTTTTTTGTAACATCAACCCTTTATAATAAAAATATTAATACGCGGGTATTATCATTTCAATCAGTACAAAATAATTTGGCGACGATTGGAAAAAGTACGTAAAATAATCTTCAGTCTAACTAAAAAAACGAGTCCAAAGTATGGCTGAGAAGTTAGCCCCCCTAATAGACGCTCTCAGTGGGTTAATCTCAACTCTCCAGCACCAACAAAGACAAGAGAAGAGTGTTAAAGATGTTCTCCAGACACAAGCCATTTCATTTGAGTCATTCGATGAATCAGCGGAAACCTTTGATACTTATTCTCAACGCTTGCAAAATTTTTTCAAATTAAAAGGATTAAGTAAAAATAATAAAGAAACCAACGAAGCAAAAGTAATGGTTCTTATTAATTGTCTTGGTAGTAGACATTACAAATTGCTATCTAATTTAACATCCCCAGATCTTCCTGCTTCAAAAACTTACGAAGAACTTATGAGCCTTCTAAAAAACCACTTATCTCCTAAAATTAATGTATTGTCAGAACAACATAGATTTTTTTCTCGCATTCAAACTCCAGGAGAATCTATCGCTAGCTATGTTGCCGAACTAAAAGACTTAGTTAAAAATTGTGAATTTAAATCTGAATGCAACAGTATTCAATGCACTAAATCTGTAATCGACATGCTTCTAAGAGCTCAGTTTATAAGAGGTCTCCTCGACACAACAATCCGTGAAAGAATCCTTCAATTGGTCAATGTTTCCCTCGAAAAGGCCATAGAAACAGCATTATCAATCGAAACTGCAAGAATTCAGAACAGGGAACTATATAGAAGTATTCCTTCAACTTCAAATTTAGTCAATCAACTTAATACACAACAAAATGAACGCACTCGATCCAGTAAAACAAATCTTTATTCTACGAACCAGAAACATAAAACCAGATCCGACACAGTCAATTTACAAAAATTAGGACTAGCAGGAATATGCTTACACTGTGGTAAAACAAATCACATAACTTTAAAGTGCCTTTCAGTAAACAAACTTCAATGCAAAAGTTGCAAAAACAAGGTCACATCGATAAAGTATGTATAACCAGTCTTTTAAAATACCGACAGTCTGTTCAAAACATTGATTTCGATTCCGATAGTTCTGATACCAAAGATTTTTCAATTAATCAAATTATCGACGTTTTCTCTGGATCTGCATCTGTGTTTGAGCCAAAAATGTTTATTGAATTAAATATTCAAGGTAAACCCTTCCAATTTGAATGTGATACGGGAAGTCCTGTCAGCATTATTTCTCAAAAAGATTATCATCGATTGCAATTGGACATTCCCATTCAAAAAACTGAAGTTTACTTTAGATCGTATACGCAACATCTATTCAAGCCAATAGGCTTTGCCAGAGTTCAAGTTACATATAATCACAAAACTATCACGGCGGATCTGTACATCGTTTCAAATTATGGTACTGCTATTATTGGAAGAAGATGGATAAGAGAACTAGAAGTAGATTTGTATAGCATTTCATCAGTCTCATCTACACCACCTTCCCTCATAAATATTTTAAGTCAATTTCAAGATATCTTTAAACCAGTAGTTGGCGCTGTTCCAAATTTCAAATGTACACTAAAACTTCGTTCTGATGCTAAACCAGTCTTTTTAAAACCTCGAAGAGTACCTTATGCACTTCAGGAAGAAGTTGACAAAGAACTTGATTCCTTTGAACAAGAAGGTATAATTACGAAAGTTGATTATTCAGAGTGGGGTACTCCTTTAGTCATAATACCTAAAAAAGATGGTAAAGTTCGAATTTGTGCCGACTATAAAGTTACTGTTAATAGTCAACTTCAAGATAATCGCTACCCTATACCCAGAATAGAAGATATTTTCAATAAAATGGAAAATGGAGTATACTTCTGTATCTTAGATATCTATAAAGCTTATTTACACATTCAAGTTGATAACGAAAGCTCAAAAATTCAAGCCCTGTCAACACATCGAGGTACCTATTTAGCCAATAGATTATATTTTGTAATCATAACAGCACCCAATGAATTTCACAAAATATTAGACCAGATTTTTCATGATTTAGAAGGAACGACCCTGTATTTCGATGACATACTGGTCCAGGGTTCGTCTATATCTCAATTTACACTTCGACTAATTAAGGTATTGGAAAGACTACGCAAATACAACCTTCACCTTAATAAAAATAAGTGTAAGTTTTTCGAAAAAAAGATAGAATATTTGGGTCACACTACATCTAGTAGAGGCCTACAGAAGTCAAACGATAAAATTCAAGCAGTCCAGAATGCACCCCGGCCCAAAAATCAAGAAGAAGTTCAACAGTTTTTAGGACTAATAATGTACTATTCTAAGTTTATTCCAGATGCTTCAACTGTTCTTCATCCTTTAAACCGCTTGCTCAGAAAAAATGTTCCCTTTAAATGGAATAAATCCTGTGAACAAGCCTTTCTTCAAGCTAAGTCTGAAATTGCAAGTGATCGGGTGTTAATACCATTTAATCCAGACCTAAATGTCATCTTGGCAACAGATGCGAGTCCATATGGATTGGCAGGAGTTTTATCTCATCGATTCCAAGATAGTACAGAAAGGCCAATAGCTTTTATATCCAGATCTTTAACTAAAGCCGAACAGAATTACAGTCAGCTAGACAAAGAAGCTACTGCAATATACTGGGCTTGTAAAAGACTATTTCATTATATCTACGGACGTAAATTTACGCTAATTGTTGACAATAAACCACTTTTTACAATTTTAAATCCGCAAAGACAACTACCAACCTTATCAGCAACTAGAATGTTACGTTATGCGCAGTTTTTAGCTGGATTCAACTATGACATCGAATGTAGGAAGTCATCAGAACATTCAAACGCAGATTATTTTTCAAGAAACCCTTTAAAATTAACTCCAGAAGAAGAAAAATATATCGATAGCGTATATTTAACAAATATTGATCTATTTTATAAAATAAGTACAGATACTATAACCGCTGAACGTATAATAGAAGAAACAAAACATGATCCTGAATTATCTAGACTCAAAGAAGAATTACTTCAAGGAAGTAGAAGAGATCCTGAGTTATCTCTACAAGATGGTATACTTTTCAGAGGTCACCGTGTTATTATACCAAAGTGCTTGCAACCATCTATTCTACAAGAACTACACTCTACGCATTTAGGAATCGTTAAGATGAAAGCACTGGCCCGGAACTATTGTTATTGGAAAAACATTGACTCTGATATTAAAAATTTAGTTAAAAGTTGTTTAGCATGTAGTAACGTTCAAAAAGATCCAACAAAATCACCCATACACCATTGGGAATGTCCTGAAAGAAACTGGCAAAGAGTACACATGGATTACGCAGGTCCATTTTTAGGACACTACTTTTTGATTGTTGTTGACGCCAAATCTAAATGGCCAGAGATCATGATGATGAAAAGTGCTCCAACGACCAAAAATACTATTTATTATCTCAGAGAGATTTTTAGTCGTATGGGTCTACCTGAAATGTTGGTGAGTGACAATGCTTCAATATTCAAATCTAAAGAGTTCGCAGATTTTTGTATAAGAAATGGTATAAGTCAGAGATTCATTGCACCAGGCCATCCATCTACAAACGGGCAAGCAGAAAGATACTGTCAGACACTTAAGGCAAAACTTATACGAATGATGCACGAACCAGGAGATCTTCATGAAAAATTATGCAGAATATTGTTTAGGTAACGGGTTACACCATTATCATCAGGAAATTCACCATCTGAAAATTTATTTGGAAGAAATATTAGGACAAAATTAGATTTGCTACGGCATAAATCAAAGGAAAACAACAGTATACTAATAGATTTAAAAAAAGCCTTCAATGTAGGTGACCGGGTACAATCTAGAAACTATTCAACACCCATTAAGTGGAAGTATGGCATAGTAATTCAACGTTTAGGTTGACTACATTATCTAGTAGAACTAGATGATGGATATAAAATTAAACGTCATTATGACCAACTTCGTCTCAGCAATGTTTACCATTCTAATATTTTTTCAAATACTAGTGAGCATAATGATATTGATGATACAGTGGTATCAAACGAATTAAGTGTACCCTTGGAATCTAAAGATCACGAGACGAATGTTGACCATCGAAAAGAAACTAGCCAGACTGAAATAACTGACCTGACTCGAGACCTTGAATATGAACCAATTAATAAAGAAAACCCCGATCCACGTCTTCAAGAGAATCAAGAAAAGCAAATACCGTCACATCCGTCCAAACCACCGGAGGTTTTGAGGAGATCCACTAGAACCCGTAATCCCATTCAAAGATTAACCTATTGAATGTCTCAGAAATTACAAGGGGGAGAATTGTTATATATTTAATAGACCATTTTATATACTGCATAATAATATAGTCGTTAGTATGAAGACTAGTCTTCATAGTCGTTAATGTTTAGTTTCTATGCATTCATATTTTTGTGACTTAATTCAATTCATGTCAAGATATTTTTTTTGTAACGTCAACCCTTTATAATAAAAATATTAATACGCGGTTATTATCATTTCAATCAGTACAAAATAAGACTGTTAAAGGGAATAGAGTATTTTGGAGGAGATTTGGACTAACCACAATTTTAGCATATTATTCGGGTATTTTGTTTATTATAATAAATTAAAAAGTGTTTTTTAAGCGCCGAGGAAGAGGAAGTATTTAAGAATAATTTCCCCAGGCGGGACACACTGGTATAATTATTAACGCATTTTATACGTAATTCTCGTTTATATTTGGTATTGGTTGATTCCGTATACGTTTACAGTTTACGATTATTATATATGTTACGGTTAAAGTGT